TGAGTGAATGAATAAATAAATACATACAGACATACATATACATACACACACACACACACACACACACACACACACAAAATGGAAAGAAAAATTATTTTTTCAGTAAATCGTGGAGAACTGGAGAAGTATTGTATATGGAGAATATTGCTGTGGACAATGGGGGGCCTTGGTGTCAGAAAGGTTGAGAACCACTGCTTTAGACCACGGTGAGCTATTTTGTCACTAAAGGCATTAAAGAATACATTTCTGTTTTTTGGTAGCAATGTTGCTCTACCAGTTGTTACTTCTGTATGATTTGAAAGATGTAAACTTGTCATACTTGTACCTGAATATGCCAGACTGGACTTCATTAACCACCACACGGCGGCTCCATGCCAGCAGGTCTCTCTCAGTGGCGATCTGACTGCGGGGGGCATTATTGTGCATCTGCCGTACACCCTCAACTTGTCCGCTACGTCGCAGCCCAACGTTTGGGGGTGACAGAGGACCACCTGCCACCTCAGCACCTACTGATCAACAGCTTTAAATGTCACAACCTCTAAACCATCAGCTTTTATATAAGTGACCTTCAAGCCAACTAATGTCTTAAATGCAAAATAATTTTAATGTAATAAAGAGAAAAAATATATTATACCATCTGCATTTTGCCCCTTCAATGTGTAATAATTGTACCATAAGAAAACAGCACATCATTGAAATTTCTATAAAACATTTTAAAAGGATAACTGTGGGTTGTTCTCACCTGTAGGATTTCCTGAGTGGAGTCGCTCATCTTGCTGGTGCTGGAGCTGCCTAATCAGGTCATCCAATGGGCTTTCTTCCGGAGACTCCTCTGCAGTCTGCTGGCCAATCACCTGCTCAACCACTTCACCATCACCTAAAAAAAAAAACATTAAATGACTTTCTAAAACTAATTTAAAATAAAGCCTAAACTAGTTCTCTAATAAAAGGACGACTACATATGACATGACTATTTCTTTCACACTTTTCATTTAATATGTTTAACAGCCATGCAATGTGTGCAGGACACTCCTGAGGTTGTCACATTCATAGTATTCAACAGGAAGTAAATTTATGCCCAAGAGATTGTCCTGTTGAGCAGTCAGACAAATGACAAGCAGTCTAGTTCTAGTGCTGTTGCTAGTCAAAAAGAAAAGTACCAGAAGGACAGATGCGCGTATTTTGGGTTGAAGACTACATGTCATAATTTTTATTTAAAAATAAAATTTAATTTTTTCCCCCAAATTTATCAAAAACATTTTTAATGAAGTAAAAATGCGTTTTCACTCTACCATTGACATTGGTGAAACATTTCTAGTGCTGTTGCTAGTCAAAAATAAAAGTACCAGAAGGACAGATACGCGTATTTTGGGTTGAAGACTACATGTCATAATTTTTATTTAAAAATAAAATTTAATTTTTTCCCCCAAATTTATCAAAAACATTTTTAATGAAGTAAAAATGCGTTTTCACTCTACCATTGACATTGGTGACAAGAATGACATTTCATTGGTATAGACAACTGAAATTGTGTTACACAGTAGCTACAGACTGAACAAGGCAGAATATTTTCAAAATTTCTACTACAGAAATTATTTATTAATTTGACTATAATTAGTTGTGTAAAACTATATGATCATTATAAATAAAACTACATAAAAATAATAATAATAACTATTACTACAGCAATAAGATGTATGTTAATCATACAGTAAAGCTTTGAGTCATTTGTTATTCACCATTTAAACTTAACTAAATTTACCATTAGCCATGTAGCCGAGCTGTGGCACAAGATGCTCCTCTTTGCAGTTTTCTCTGCCTGGCACCAGGCGCTGGTAACGAGGTGGGTGGGGGTTCCCATCTACGTCCACCAGAAAAGGTGGAGGCATAAGATGAGGTGCCTGCTGCGTCTGCTCATCTAGAACAAAGTTATTGGAGTCCCGGATCAGCGGCCGGAAATCCGTATGGAAGAACATTTGGTCTTGAATCTGAAAGCAGAGTGAAGCGTTGGAATGCGAGTGGTTTCAATCAACTGCACAAAAAGCTCAGAATTCCACATATCTGGGACACAAACGTACCTTTTCATAAGGCTGACTGCACCCAAATCCGAAGATGAGCAGATGACCATGAGAGTCTGTGCAGGCAAAGTGCTGCCCATCCACAGAAAATTTACAGTCAAACACAGCACCATGACCCTGGCCTTCAATCTAACAAAGAAATATAGAGAGAGAAAATAATAACATTTCTGTGATGAGCAGCATTTCTATCAACATCTAGACACTACCGTTTAATAATTTGGGGTTGGTAAAATTATTTACTGTTTTTGAATGAGGTCTTTTATGCTCACCAAGGCTGCATTTATTTGATCAAAAAATATAACAATATTGTTAAATATCATTATAGTTTAAAATAACCATTTTCTATTTTAATATAAATTAAAATGCTATTTATTCCTGTGATGACTGATGAATTTTCATCAGCCATTACTCAAGTCTTCAGTGTCAAATTATTCTTTCTTATTACAGTTGAAAACAGTCGTGCTGCTTGATATTTCTATGAAAACTGATAAAAAAAATTTTTTAGGATTCTTTGATTAAAAGAATGTTTAAAAACAGCATTAATTTGAAATATAAGTCTTTTTTGGAACATTATCAACATCTTTTGGCACTTTTGATCTAATTAATACATCCTAAGTTCCTGAAGTCTTACTTTCTTCTCTACTTGTTACCCCAAACTTTTGAAGAGTAGTTTCTTATCTTTTATGAAAACTACTTTTAAAATTGGTGAACTTTTTAGAATTGAAACAGAAGATTTGTTACGTCATCTCACCATATTGAAGAAGTTTCTGATCTTGAGGCCTTTACTGAGGTCCCAGATGTAGATGTTACCATCATGACCAGCTGATAACAAGATTCGGGAGTCAAAGGGGTGTGCTTCCAAAACAAACACCTCATCATCATGACCCTATGAACAGAGGAACATTTACATAAATGATCCATACATAATGGGCAATAAATCACAGGAAGCGCCTGTTTAGAATTACAAAAACAGGAACCCAAAGGAACAGACTGAATTCTGCCTCACATGCATGCACACATACCGACAGCACATGTAGTAATTGGCCATTTGCTGAGTTCCAGACTTTGAGGAGGCAGTTTGAAACAGCTGTGATGATGGAGCGATCGTAACGATCCCACGCGACCATGGTCACCACCAACTTGGTCGATTTGTCATCGCCTGATATCACAGCACTCCTGTGAACACAATACATATGTCCACACAGATGTAAAAAATACACATAACGGAAGAACCAAATAGATTTATTTTTCAAATGAACAACATTTAATGTTAATGTAATTAGATTTGGTCCCAACTGTGCTTCAGAAACCCTGCCTGTTCCCACAGTTAACAGATATATGTACACATACTGACCCTGGTAATCTGGTGCTCATGTCTAGCACGGTACTCTTCCATTCGTGCTGTTGGTAATGCCAAATCCGAGCTGTACCATCCCGACTACCACTCACAAACCTGAGACTGGATAGAGAGGCAGTCAAAACACAAACAGAGTTAAAAACACCCAGAGTAAAGACAAAAGGTACATCCCAATGAACAAACACAAAAGGAAGCACATAGTGAACGCTGATAATAAACTCACCTGTCTGTGTTATTGCAAAACTGAATAGCTACAACTTTATCCTGTAAAACAAAAACATTGTTGTACTTCTAAGTCAGCACAATATACAGTTATGACATTCAAACTTTAATTTTTAACATGTTCCTCATTTTCCAGTCTACAATCAGGGTATATACAGGAATCATGGAGTTAAATTTAATACCTTTTAATACCTTTTTAAGACTCTTTCCATACATTTTAAGACCTCATCGCCACTCCAAGTTTTAACCGGTTACATCGGTGACACTTTAACTTACATTTACTATATATTGATTGTAAAATAGCACAACTAAACAGACTTACTTTGTGATAACTCCTTATCAATACAACATAATTCAGACGGGGGGAACGAAGCACAAGAGAATTAATTGAGTGACTAACCAATGCAACCCAAGAAACAAGAATTAGACCAATAAACAAAACAACTGACAACATTTATTGAGGAGGGAAAATTAAGCTCTCTGAGCTAACGGGGCAATGAGTTCACACAGTATATTCAAAAGACGTATTTGTAACATCAACTCTTATAACTGTCTGCAAACCATAGCTCTTTTGTGGAACACTACTCATGACAAACACCTGACTGATCAGACAGTTTACCTGTGATTACGGAGTGCTTGATTTGATGCAGACTTGACAGCGTGTAAGTACTGCACCTGATCGTGTCTGAATGATCATGGAAGGTAAAATAATGATCACAACTATTACATCATTTTAATTGTGCATCCCAAGCCCACGCCAGTAAAAAAAAACTGCCCAAACTAGCACAATTACCATGTTCCAAATATAAAAATGTCATTTCCATCCCTAAAATACACATTTTACAGTCACTGTTATGCACATTTATCATAAACACAGCTCAAATGCCTCCTACTAGTGTGGCCCAAAACATTTAGCACAGTTTTATTACAGGTAGAATGCAAAATGTTTCAGTACAAGCATTTCAACCAAATGTAATTTACGCAATATTTCAAACCTTTAACCCACTGGGGAAAATCAACACATGTCAACAGTTTAAAAGCAGCCCAATTTCGTGAAAAAAAAAACAACAACAACCCTGCATCCAACACCAGCTGCAGAAGTCAGATTTGACTAATCACGGGTCAAAAGTAAGGAGAGATAACTGACAAGATGTTGGAAGATTTGCTCCTCAACAGATCCTGAGCTCATTGACAAATATCTTTTATCGTAAGATGTGCTCCCTTTACACAGTGCGCGCGCGATCGCGAAATCGAAAGTGAACTGCGACTGCGAGCGCTCATTCAAAGAGGATTTAAATACCCCACATATTGATAGCGGCACCCTGATGCGCGAAAATTATATACAATATTAGACTGTTTGCGGGAGCGGACACAAAAATCGTGGGAGCGGATGGGAGCGTGCGATAATGGTCAGAAATTCAGCGAGAGCGGGATCTATCACGCAGCAGCGCAGTCAGTCAGTGAGCGCAGTAAGAAATAAAGATTCCAGAAATAAACTACACAGAACCCCACTATTCGGACAAATATACATAATGACAAGATTATACAAAATTTGGCATTTAAGACGTTTTAATACTTAAGACCCCGCGGACACCTTGACAATACAAGTTCTGCTTTTTCCGGCCATTATTCTCTTTTGCGATACTCCATCTCTCTTGCCTTCTTGTCTGCCTACTGGATTTCTTCTCTACGTCTCTCACTCTTACCGTGTGGGAGTCCAGGTCAGAAAACTTCACAGGCGTCTCTGTGCCGAGGTAGTAAACTCTGATCATGTGGTCTGTCCCTCCGGTTGCCAGAAACAATCCCCCTGGAATCAAAAAACACGATATCTACCTTTATAATATACTAACTTTTTATTTATTGTCTGATCATGAGACAATAATGATACTATAATAAATAAACATGAGAAAAGTGTATGACAATTGATCAGAGAGTTAGAGTGTGAGTGTGGGTAAACACACCAGAGCTGAAGGAACTGCAGGATATCTGAACTCCGGGACGAGAACGTTCCATAAACTTCACAGGCCGATCACTGCAAACACAAACACATGACTTGTTGCAAATTTGCTCTATGTAAAAACATTGAATTAATGACATGAGCAGAATTGGGTCATTGAAAATGGACAAATGACACTTACTCAAACTTCATACTGAGTGAGTTCCACTGCCAGAAACACACCATCCCATCAGCTCCAGTGGTGGCCAGATGCCTAGAGGAACCTAATGCTGATGGAGAAAACTGCAGAGATAGAAAGAAAAATCCATTCAAACACAAACAAAATCATCTGAATTAATAGTGCCTGTTGAATTTTTGGATTAAAAAAGAGTTGATTTCTATATAAAAAGTGATTTCATAAAATTTTTATTTTTTTAAAACAGGTTTGCTGTGTTGTGTGTTTGTACGGTTTGTAAGTTTTTGTGATTACATGTCAACATTAAAAAAAAAGTATTATTATTAATAGTAGATTTACAGTGAATTACATCAGAAAAAATTAGAATTTTATTTTACATTTACAATATTATTGTAAAAGTACAATATTAATATTTATGGTCATTTTAATTTCTTCATTTTCAAACATTAAACCATTTAGCATTTGTTTTAACCGGGGGAAAATGCAAGAGCCCAAAAAAATTTATCTTTTGTTGACAACAGCCAGTTTGTAAGCTTCTTATTAGAAGTTTGGGTATATGGTTGGCACATGTTGGCTCCCAAATGCAAGTGACCCAAGTTCAGAGCAGATGCAGAGTTAAAGCTTGTGTGGAGCAGCATTTACCGTGAACCACTGAAATCACCAGATCATGAGCTGCTTGCGTGTAAAAGAACATAATACCATGCTTCACTCACACAGTGACTTTATAAAGAAAACTTGTTCACACACCTGTATGGAGGTGATAGAGGCTGTGTGCCCCTGCAACACTGCCACAGGTGCACAGGTACGCAGGCACCACACGCGGATGACCTTGTCACAGCTGGCGGAAGCAAGGAGCGTGTTCTCGAAATTCACTGTCATGTCTGAAATCTCTGCCGCGTGTCCACGCAGAGTGGTTAGGAGACGGCCATCATCCGTCACCCAGATCTTCACTAGACAATCATCAGAACCCTGACAGAGACATGTGAATAAACCTTGATTACAAGTGCACATAAAACATATCACAAAACTACAAGACACAAAACAGTTTCCTGGGTTATGTTATTTTTCAATTATTTTTTAACATTAACAATATTACGCAACACACTTTGACAAAATCAGGCCCAGATCCAATATTCTGATCAGATGCATTTACCGTAAAAATGCGCCACCCAGTGCGGTCAAACGCCACACAGTACACTGATGAGAGATGGCCCAGAATCCTTCGATGCATCTTCATGTGCTGATAGGTACAGGAGGGGACGGCGTGGCCAAATCGAGCCACTCCTGTTTTTTGGCGAGCACCCATGATTGACACTGAGCAGTGAGATTTAGAACGATTACAATCAACTCCCACCACAAAATATAAGAAATGATAGTTGGGCTACACTAAAGGACATTACTGGGCCACTAAATTAAAATATGCTAACATCCAGCATTAAGCTACAGTCAAACTAGACAAACAGACACTATATTGTAATATGACTTTACAATCTGCGGCACTTAAAAAAAAAAAATCAAAATATAATACTTGTAAAATTAAAAAATGTGCAATCTTCTCCAGTTTACCGTAACGCTGCAGTTCTGCAAATTTGAAGTTTGCATTTGTTTAATTGAGTAACACAGTGACGTATCAAACTTCTGTTGGTCACATGTCTTCATGATACAAATTCACAGGGCAAAGTTCACCAAACCTGAAGTTTGAAAAACAGTAAAATTTGCATGATCGCATTTGCATGCGTATAAATGGAAGTCAATAGAAGGGAAAATGTAGGGTGACTGGCCTTTAAAGTCGCAATGAAATAAAATAGTGAAAGATGATTTTGTTTGTATTCTGACAGACATCCGAGTGTGAAGGAATATCGAATAAGGGAAAATAAATTGTGGGAATTGCACTTAGGGCTGTGTATCACCAGCAAAGTCAAGATACGATATGTATCACGATACAGAGGCCACGATATGATACGCATCACGATACAGGACTGCACGGAATTTCACCTCTAGTAAAACAGCTGTTTATTAAACACTTACTATAGTGCCATTTCTAACTATTGGCAGAGCAGGTAGTTGACCTCTGCATTATGAAGGGCCTCCATAACTGTACCACAGTACAATATAGGTAATGGCATATGTTTCATGTTTACATTGGGCACTCCCCACCAGGTACAATATTCTGATTGTTTGCAACTGGTTTTTAAGCCCATATATAATAATGTACTCATTCTAATAAATGTATATTGTAATGTACTCATACTAATATATGAAAAAACACTGCTGGTAGGTTATCATTGCACAAATTAACACACTTTCTACATTTAAAAAAATTAAAAATTAGAAGAGTTCTAAACTAATGTGCTAACTAATGCGGTTGAGTTCCTCTGTGGCTAGATTACTGGTTTTTAAGCCCATATATAATAATGTACTCGTTCTAATAAATGTCTATTGTAATGTAGGGCCAGCTGTATCGATACTCGTATCGTCAAATCTCTGTGACGATACATCGTCGTATCGATGTATCAAACACAGCACTAATTGCACTCCAAATGAATGTGAGCTTGCAGTTGATTGTGGAAGGTTTAAGCAGACTTAAATGATTGGACAATTTTTGCATACATCGCCAGAGAGAGTCTGGTGATTTCATCATAAGATCAAATTATTATATTTTAATTGAATATTATTAAAAATAGGGTGAATTCTTATCATGCCGACTTTAATCAGCAATCATGAAGCACCATTTTCATTTGGAAAGCGGGGACTCCCTCTATGTTCACAAACCCACCAGTGACTCCTGAAACTTAACCCAAAAACAGCAGTGCATTTTGGAGAACAGGACTCACCTATATTTGGTGGTTTGGCACAGTTGAGAGGTGGTTCTGGGGGCCGTCCCCTGTGCAAGGCGACTACTGCAGAACCACTCCATACTGTAAGAGAAGAACCTGAGAGAGAACAACTGTGTCAAATATTTATCTGTGTTAGAGGGAGAAAATGAATGTGAGGGAAAGTGTTTGTGTGATCATGTGCGCTAGCTCTCATCTTTGTTGCTTCTCATTGTTTGCTGCTGTATATAGTGATTGTGTGCATCTCACTTTTTGCTGTCCGTAGTAATGACTGTCGCCCACTGCCCAGTAAACTGTGGACTCCAGGAACACTGGGAGGAATGTGTTTATCTATCAATGGGCCAATCTGCTCACACACATGCAACAGGTAATCCGCAGGTATGTGCTGATTTAACAAGACCTAAAACATACATGGAGGTATTTGATAAATAAACCATAAGAGGCACAGCAAAGCTGAATTGCATCAAATTTGATCCAAAGCAACTTACAAATATGGACAATAGAAGCAATCAAAACCAACAAAAGAACAATATGTAAGTGCTGTGACAAGTCTCAGTTAGCCTAACGCAGTACACATAGCAAGGTTTTTTTTAATTATAATAAATAAAAAGAAAACAAGTAGATAGAATAGAATAAGAATAGGGAACGCTACTGATAGGGAGTCAAAAGAATAGATAATGCCAGTGTTAAGAGGGTCATTTCTTATAATAAATAAAAAGAAAACAAATAGAATAGAAAAGGAACAGGGAACGCTAGTGTATATAGGAAAAACTGGTGCAACAACATGTTACATAATAGTATTAGTCTTCAAACTAGCGTGAATTTTGCCAAAACAATCCCTATTTATTAATGCGCATTCCTGAAAGACCACCGTTCCCTCCACAGATAAGCGTCCACCTCGTATCAGCCAATCAGAAGTCTTCTCCACCCATCTTCCTAGTGTCTTAAGTAGCAACTGATGTTTGATTGGCTGCCACCTTTAAGTGACGCAGCAACCCACCAATGACCCTCTCGCTGCTGGTAGGTTATCATTGCACAAATTAACACACTTTCTACATTTAAAAAAATTAAAAATTAGAAGAGTTCTAAACTAATGTGCTAACTAATGCGGTTGAGTTCCTCTGTGGCTAGATTAAACCTTGTTGTAACCTATATATTATGCTCTATTCATAATTTTTTTAGAAACCTCGCACTTTTCTACTTTATTTTAAACGGTGTTCTTGTATTCAAATTAAGCGCAGTCCACTGCTGCACACGTGCCACAATATCGATACAGGGCCAGCTGTATCGATACTCATATCGTCAAATCTCTGTGACGATACATCGTCGTATCGATGTATCAAACACAGCACTAATTGCACTCCAAATGAATGTGAGCTTGCAGTTGATTGTGGAAGGTTTAAGCAGACTTAAATGATTGGACAATTTTTGCATACATCGCCAGAGAGAGTCTGATGATTTCATCATAAGATCAAATTATTATATTTTAATTGAATATTATTAAAAATAGGGTGAATTCTTATCATGCCGACTTTAATCAGCAATCATGAAGCACCATTTTCATTTGGAAAGCGGGGACTCCCTCTATGTTCACAAACCCACCAGTGACTCCTGAAACTTAACCCAAAAACAGCAGTGCATTTTGGAGAACAGGACTCACCTATATTTGGTGGTTTGGCACAGTTGAGAGGTGGTTCTGGGGGCCGTCCCCTGTGCAAGGCGACTACTGCAGAACCACTCCATACTGTAAGAGAAGAACCTGAGAGAGAACAACTGTGTCAAATATTTATCTGTGTTAGAGGGAGAAAATGAATGTGAGGGAAAGTGTTTGTGTGATCATGTGCGCTAGCTCTCATCTTTGTTGCTTCTCATTGTTTGCTGCTGTATATAGTGATTGTGTGCATCTCACTTTTTGCTGTCCGTAGTAATGACTGTCGCCCACTGCCCAGTAAACTGTGGACTCCAGGAACACTGGGAGGAATGTGTTTATCTATCAATGGGCCAATCTGCTCACACACATGCAACAGGTAATCCGCAGGTATGTGCTGATTTAACAAGACCTAAAACATACATGGAGGTATTTGATAAATAAACCATAAGAGGCACAGCAAAGCTGAATTGCATCAAATTTGATCCAAAGCAACTTACAAATATGGACAATAGAAGCAATCAAAACCAACAAAAGAACAATATGTAAGTGCTGTGACAAGTCTCAGTTAGCCTAACGCAGTACACATAGCAAGGTTTTTTTTTAATTATAATAAATAAAAAGAAAACAAGTAGATAGAATAGAATAAGAATAGGGAACGCTACTGATAGGGAGTCAAAAGAATAGATAATGCCAGTGTTAAGAGGGTCATTTCTTATAATAAATAAAAAGAAAACAAATAGAATAGAAAAGGAACAGGGAACGCTAGTGTATATAGGAAAAACTGGTGCAACAACATGTTACATAATAGTATTAGTCTTCAAACTAGCGTGAATTTTGCCAAAACAATCCCTATTTATTAATGCGCATTCCTGAAAGACCACCGTTCCCTCCACAGATAAGCGTCCACCTCGTATCAGCCAATCAGAAGTCTTCTCCACCCATCTTCCTAGTGTCTTAAGTAGCAACTGATGTTTGATTGGCTGCCACCTTTAAGTGACGCAGCAACCCACCAATGACCCTCTCGCTCGGTTTGCACTGCCGTAACGCCTCTGGCCGGCACGCACAAAGCCTTTCATTTCAAAACAAATATTTTTATTTCGATTCCCGAAATTAAAACGTTCCCACACCAAAACCAATCCTCATGTATATTATAGACGATATTCCTACCGCCAGCACAGCTCCCTCAATTCAGCGCTTTTTCAGTTTTACACGCTGTAATATAAGTGAGCCAAGCACCTGTGAGAGTTTGGTTCTGAACTTCACATGCGTGTGTGTGCGATAGAGTTGATTTAATCTCACCCAGTCTTCAAAGCTTCGCTTAAACTGCTTTCCATCCCAGCTCCAGCGCTTCGGGATGATCTACACACACACAGCGGGGGGAAAACACCACACGCAGGATTTAGACACGCAGTCGCGTTGGCATGAGGAGGATATGCTGATGTTGCGATATTAGAGAGAAAAACGGGTTTGAGTGGGAGAAGAGGGATGAAACTCACCTCGTATTCGTGCAGCTCCTGCAGCAGCATCTGCAGAAACACACAAGGGTTACACACACCGTAACACACACTCGCTGCTACACACCGACACTCACACGCCACTATCGGCCTCACCTGAGCGGATTTCTGACATGGTCCAGACTGCAGGAATCTGGCGATCAGGTAATACAGTTCTGCAGAGAGAGAAACACAACAACACCAGTCGTTAGCTTTAGCTTAGCCTAGCTTAGCCTCGAAGGCTAATGCTAAAACAGTGCTTAAAGTCTTCCTAACGATAAAGACGCGGAAGAAACGAGTGCTGCCCACCGGCTTCAATCTGCGAGCATGGTTCCGCCGCCATGGCCCGGTCCAGGCGGTGGGTGGAGGTTCGTGGGGAGGTCTCCGCTTGCTAAGAGCGGCCTGCGCTGTATTTGCTCTCAGCGTCTCGGCCTGCAGCCGCCGCTCGTGCTGCTTTGTTTGAGCGCCCCCGCGCGGCGGCAGTGCGCCGGTGCACCGCAGTACCGTGCGCTTCCGCCAGCGGCGCACTGAGAGCGCACAGGTGAGATCACCATTTCCACAGGCGGACATTTTGCATGGCGTACAGTTGGGTGATTTATTGAACCCAACAGCAGAGCTGTTGTATTGCAATAAAAAATGACTTGTTTCATGTTCAACATCGTCTCATCGATCACAGGTCGCGTGTGTGGGTGAAACATAAAATCTTCACAATGAAATGTTCCATACTACAATTACTGTGCCATATACATATGTGTTATGTAAGGTATGGTTTCATAAATATTACGTAATACAATTATATAAGATGCATATATCGAATAAATGTTAAAATACAACCATCATACCTTTTAGTTCTTTAACAAAATGTTGGATGCATACAGAAATAATTTATTCTGGGTTGGTGAATATCATGTTGTTTTTCAATATTTTTTTTTATTGATTGGGATCATGATGTCATGTGCATTAAACCTCTGATTTAATACAAAAAAGTTATTAAAATTTAAACACTCAAAATGTCTTTTTCCTGATATGATGTTTTCTGCGCGGCTATGAAAAGCAGGGCTAAACTGAATATTTATAGGCTGTCAGTCTGTTGCCCAAATACAACCATCATACCTTTTAGTTCTTTAACAAAATGTTGGATGCATACAGAAATAATTTATTCTGGGTTGGTGAATATCATGTTGTTTTTCAAAAAAAATTTTTATTGATTGGGATCATGATGTCATGTGCATTAAACCTGTGATTTAATACAAAAAAGTTATTAAAATTTAAACACTCAAAATGTCTTTTTCCTGATATGATGTTTTCTGCGCTTATTAGTCTCAGGATCATTTGTTAAGATATAAATGCAGTGTGAACCAATGGTGAAGTCTGCTATGAGTTATATATTGCACCAACCACTTATTAACAGATAACTGATTATAGAACAGCATATGCATAGAAACAAGTATATAATATCTTAATAATAACAACTTACAAGTGTATAATATACAGTCAGTGTAAAAGACCACAGCAGACATTATGAGGAAAATTCCAATGATGGATTTTTATTGAGTGAGACCGAGAGCATTATTAGGGGACACCAAGTACTTTTTCACAGATGAAATTTCAGTGTTAAAAAAATTCCAAAAAACGCTTTAAATTCGTTTTCTTTGAATCCCGTCATTTCAAAAAAGTCCTCTATAACAACAGAAGGGTTTTTTCCGGCCTCCTAACGAAGCCCAGTTATGTTTCAACAAATTGCAAAGGTGGTATGATTCTTAAAAAGCCAGGAGTCACCATCTAATGCTGAACCTGGAATGTAAGCAGTTTGTCTTTAGTTGTTTTCTCGCTTTTCTTCTACATTTGTTGAACTCGTTCCTCTTTCTTAAAGACAATCAATTACGTTTAAAAGAAAAATAAAACAAACCCCATACAGAAACATCACAGACTCCAGAGCAACATCACGAGCACTAACGGACATACAGACTGAGAGCCTCCTCCCACCTCCCACTCCAAAACCAAGCTACAGACCATCCGCTTGAAAAAAAAGAAAGAAGAGATAAAAACAGAAAATCAACAAAACGAAAGAAAGACGCCGCCTTTTTCCACACCTCTCGTGTTGTAGACACCTGATACAGCTGCGGCCGAACACAAGACTCGTTTAGTCAGCTTTGTTTTTTGTGCTAAAAACCTGAACCAGTATTTACAAATTCGCTGATAAAAATATTCCTCTGGTGGTGATGGGCAGAGAGGAGGTTGCTGAGAGAGCTGGAGAGGGAGAGAGAGTATTGGGAAAGAGAGAGGAAGATAAAGGAAAGAGGGGAAAGGGAAAGGATGGACGGATGGATGGACAGGCGTGGTGCTACTCTGTCTTCGGGTCCTCCTCGGCCTCTGCCGCCTCATCTGGAGTTTTCTCAACCTGCGTAATAAAAAGGACAAACCAATAAGAATCAAGCAGGGGCCAGTTGCATAAAAGGTTTAGACTAGTCTTAAAAGTTAGTCATCTCATTTTGTTCTTTAAGACTGGTCAACATTTATAAAATTCGGTTACATTAAAACCTAGATTAGTCTAAGCTGAATCCAAAATATAAGACCGATTACCCCTTGGTTAAACTAGTTCTTAAGACTAGTCTTAATATAGAGGCTAAGTTTTTGCAACTGGCCCCAGGACTGCCTCTGCACCAATCAGAATCTTTCTTTACAAATAGTGGAGGTCAGGTTTAGAAAATTCTCCTTTTTTTTTTTTTTAGAAAACTGTCTCTTCACCGACAGTTTAGGCTGTCGGTGTCTTTCTGTCGGTGTCAATTATTTTAACTGTGTTACTAAGTACTTTGGCAATCTCATTAGAAAATATTCAATAAAACATTACGAGCATCATGGCCTGGCATGTCTATGTATGATAGACACTGATTTGAGGTAGACTGTTATTGTATATACATATATACCTCATTGGTCTTAGTCTCCCCATTTTCTGATTGGTTCTCCTCCTTGGACTCCTCAGCCTTTGCCTTTGCCTTCTTGTCTTCCTTTTTATCGTTCACTTCCTTCTCTTTCTGCCAGAGAGGAAACGACAGAGCAAAAGAATGAATATAGAGCAATACGTATGAGATTACACACCAAAGCATGGAGATGAGTGATACATGAGCATCATTACAAAAGTGTGTTTATGAAAAGTGGACATACCTTGGGAGTTTTTTTCGGTTTGGGTTCAGGTTTCGGAGTTGTTGGTTTCTGAAGGGATTCATTCACAAACGTACTTTTTGATATATAAAAGGATATCTAAACAATACACGTTCAAATAAATAGTTGAAATAATGCACAGAATGGCCTATGTTGTTCTGCTCTATCCTGAAGTCAGCACATCTTCTTAAATGACTGGCAAAACTTATGCTGGAAAAAAAAAATGACTTGCGCAGATATTATGTTTTCTGACCTTGTTGCTCTGAGATCAGCGGTAGGTTGAAATCCAACAAGTGTTGGTTGTAGGATTTAAATAGTCAATTAACACAAGAAGTGCTAAAAACTATTTCCAAGCTATATTTAAAGTTCCTCAAGTCTTTTGAGATCAGAAAAGTTTTAAAAACAAAATAATGATATAATGGTAAAAATCTCTTTAATAACAAAATAACTTACCGCTGATAGTCTAGCAGACCTTCTCTGAGGCTACAAGAGGAAGAAAAAAAAATTATTTAAATACAAGTACAAGAAAACAGTTATATATTGCAAATCCTATTTATTAAAAATATATGAAACATGTCACTTCTAGTTTGTGTACTTAACGAGTTTATACTTTAAACTTGGCACAGTGTACTACAAATATCATCATAAAAGTTCCTTGTAAATAAATACATGTAAATGTATATATAAAGTAATGCATATGTACTGGTTTGGATTACTTGAATATGCAAGCCATAATTGCTTTAGATATTTTTTATAATTTTCCTTTCTCACCTCCTCGACTTCTCCATCAGTTCCCTGCAAATCATATATATAAATATCACAAGTTAGAACATGAGCAATGATTTTATTAACATAAAGGGCGGGAAAAACAAAAAGGAAACTTGTAGAAACATTGGGATGTGCTGTTCTGCACGTTTGTAATGTGAGCTACATGCTGGCTTGCCAAAACAACGCTTCAATGAGCTTTAGCTGAAGATTCGTGAATACGTGTAGTTGTCAGCGGACAGCAGCGCAAAATGGTGCGCCGATTTTTTTTATTTATTATTTTTCACTGAGGCATTACATGACAGGGGCTCCACACATTTGAATAAGGAGGAGGGGCGCGATGATCCCGCCTCAGCGCTGCCACCTGGCGGCAAGCAGGCGTCATGACACTCCTCTTCCACGGCGAACAAAGAAAATGCATTCAAATTGTTTAAAAACGCGACCGTCTTTTCGCAAAATTGCCACCATTCAGAAAATTAGAGCTATCCAGCTATTTTTTAATCACCATTCGACGGCGACTGAGCCACGATTGCGCTTATAATCGTCGGTTTTCGCGTCGCGCTGTGCTGGAGATGGAGAGAGAGAGAGAGAGGGCAGCATGGCTGCGGTTCCACGGGCATGAGATCAAGCCGAGCTTCAGCACAGCGCTGCTCCACTAAAACCCTTCTGCTTAACGCTCCACCGTCGACAAAAACACCGCGATCCGGCGGGAAAAATCGCAAAATTGACAACGATTTTTTACCTGCCCACTAATTCCAAAGAAGTCGCCTGGATTTTTATTAAAAAAACATTGTCTCGAGGGCTTCCTAATTTCACGACTGATTAGTAAGGGCAAAAGTGTAGCCGTACGCCGCGCTCGGCTTTTCTACATACCTTTCTCTTGGGCATGTTGAGTTTGGGATATTTTTCTTCTTTTATGCAAAACTAACACGTTATCTTTAGTGATTCGGAGTTCACAGTTCAGGAGACTGTCGTCCGCTATGCACTAATTCTGTAGTAAACACAGAGCTACATTAGAGCCAGTGGTTGAATGGGAGGGTGGGGGCGGGGCCACGCTGTGACTGACGTTCCGCTTGTCCAATCAGCGGGCGTCTGGGTCCGCCACCGACGAGGCAGATTATTACCTCCGCTGTGCTTTTACGCGCGAAATCCTGAGGTAAATCCAACGGCGCATCTTCCTGTAAAAAGTTCCCCTTCCAACACGTTAAAAACCTATAGTTTGATGTGCCTTCTGCACCAAATAAAGCTCTACCATGCAGTACTGATGTGAGGAGGAATAGCTTACCGTTTAAGCCCAGTAATAAAGTCAGCCCTCCTTCATAACTATGTGTGTTTGCGCTGTATGGCCACAGCGTCTCTGCCTCAGT